TTTTGTTCATTGTGTTACCATGTGGCACCCTTTGCCCTGTTTCTGGTGATCATGTCCAGAGTTCCTTCTGGGGAAAAAAATCTTCCTTCTCTCTGACTTCAGTACCCTGTGTGGTGTGGCCCACTTCAGCTTAGGGGTAGAGCAAAGCCCTAAGTTAAGTGTATTTTGGGCCATTACCATTGGCTCAAGAATGGACAAGTTATCCAATCAGAGTCAATGAGACACAATGAGACTTTAGATGGGAGTATAGTCTCTGGGTCTTTCTCCTACTCTGCTTGACCATGAAGCGTGAGCTTGTCTGGGAATGACATTGTGGAAAGATATTATATGGACCCCCACTGCCTTTTCTCTGCCCTCAAAGGACATAACCTAGTGATAATCTAGTGATTGATTCTGGAACAGGGGCAGGTTCCATCTCTGGCCAGTGAGACCCCCGAGAGTTTTTCAGAGATGAGTGGGAAAAGCTACTTCCTTTCCTACTGTCAGAAATCAAGGTGGCCCTGACTACTGATGGCACCTGTGCCGCAGCCAGGAAGGATCAGCCTCAGGGAGAAGCTGACGCTTCAGTTCTGACACAGTCAAGAAAGGAAGGGAAAAGCAGCCAGGTCTTTGATGACATTGTTAAGCTACTAGACTGGCGCTGGCACTGGGCCTGCCTCTGGGCCTCGTCTTTGTGAATTAAGACACACCTCATTGTTCTTGCCATGCTGAGCTTGTGTTGGAAGCAGTCGGATAGGCCAGCCTGAAGGAAATTGAAGCAGAAAGATCCTGGGTCCTGGTGACATTCTTTGAATCCCTAATCAGCGGTGCCTGCAGCCAGTCTTGGCCTTGACCTTTTCAGTTACAAGTCAATACATTGCTTTTGTACTTGGCTAGCTTCGGTGGGGTTATGGTCATTGTCTTACAACCAAGGGGAGCCTGGTGTAAGTTTATAACTGCAGGCAGCTCCAAAAGAATCACCCCTACAATATTTTCTGTGATGAGAACTTTTATTTCCAAAATCTCTTACCAGTTCCAAACTCCAAAATGTACCAGACCACAGAAATCTTCTTTTAGTTTGACACCAATGCTCATTTGGGGAAAAAACATGGACCACACTGATATGTGGCTCCTTATAGTCCTCATTCCAGTGTGTGTGCACATTTATAAATCTTGCTAAAAAATACTAATGGGTTTAATTTTGTGGGGATGCTCACACCTTGCCCGGGCGGGGTGGGGGGACAGTGTATGTAATATCTGCCATATCCCTTCTCTATAAATTCCCGAATGATCTGTTCTCAGACTTTGGACACTAGAAATCTAGAGTCCCCGGGGACACTTGTCCTCGGAGTGTTACAATGTATAAGAGTCATCCTTTTCAATAGTTTTATTTTGTATTCAGTTGTTTCATTTTCTTCTAATTCAGACATAGGAATCTAATTTGTCTTGGACTGAAAAGTGCGTGACAGAATCCAATCTGAGTCCCCGACGCAATTATGTTTTGCATCATCTGAGAGCCTGTTCATTTTGACCAAGGCCTGTCTGGTGGTTCGTTGCCATGATGTATTTTGACATCACACACACAGGTTCACCAGCTGCATCTCGACCTGTGGTATTTTACAGTGTGTGGTGACATTTATGGGCCCATTTGGACACCCACAAAGAGGTTGATTTCCATAGATTAAATGTCAAGTCTGAAACCGTCCAGGGTAATTGAATCCTTGAACGTTGTCCACTTTGATTCTCAACTGGGCCATTGACTGGATGTTTGTGTCCTATTGTGGGTCCATGAGTGCAGGCCAAACTGCTTAATGCCAGAGGTCAGCTGGGAGCCCAGTGGGAGGGGGAGACTGGGAGGATCATGGCAGTGCAACTTGATACTTGCAGAAACATGGCCTTGCACTCACTGCTTTAAATAAAAGCACGTATGTGGTTAGTTGGTTAATAAATTATGGAAGACAGAAACCTCACCCACCCACAAGAGAGGTTTCCTAGACCTCTCTAGGTTAGTTTAAAATATCTATGTATTGACAGGAGCAAAAGAGGGGGAAGAAGCTGTGGGCTAACATTTTAAGCAGAAGTAGTTGTAGGAAGCACGAAGCGTGTGCACACAGCTTGGAGAAGCTTTCATTAAGATGAAAGGATCGCACAAAAGTACCACACTATCTTCTAGAAATGTAAATATATTTGTGTGCCGATGTCCACAGGGCAGTTCCTCTTTCAGGTGTGATCTGTGCCTCTTGAATCTTTGTCCCGATGAGGACCTGGAGTCAGGTAGATGTGGCGTAGGTGATGTGGCTTCTCCTATGCCCACTTTCTCCCTGGTGCACATTGGACAGGAGAGGCAGGCCAGCTTCAGGGGCTCCATCCTGGGGCTGTCTGGTCTTTTGAAAGTTCAGCTGTCCAAGCCCTGTGTGGCCTGCTCAGCTCCTCCTGGCCACCTCCACCCACACCTGTTGGCCAGTCTCCCTACAGGTGAGCCTGTCAGTTCACAGAGAGCAGTCAGTGAGAGGCAGAATTAAAGCCACCCAGTGGCAAATAGGATGCAGACGTCCTGTCCAGGGGATGGATGGATCCAGCAGCCCATCTGTTTTCACAGGGCATTTTTGCTGCCCAGTTGTTGTGGGCACAAAGACAGCATGACCATGACTCCCAGATGTGTTTTGTGATCAAAAGTGAGGGCACACAGCATCTGCCATTAGAGACTTACCCCCGTCAAGGCGTGCACTTCATCTCTGTGAGGCTGAGATCACAGATACCATGCTCTGTGGTGGGTTCATCCAACATAACAAGGGACATACGTTTTTCCAAGCACAGAGGTCTTGCCTGCAGTGATGACCAAGACACCAAAACACGAGGATTGAGGAGGATTGGCCAAGCCTCCCATGGTTCAGTCTACCTTAGGCTGAACTCTGGGTAAGGGGGAAATCTCTGGAGTTGAATGAGTCTTGTGATTTGTCTCACACAGATGCAGCGAGTCAGGGGGAATGACAGATGCATGGTCAGAGCGGACCGTTTTCTGAGTTGGGGAGAGGAGGCGGCAGGGTGTGCTTGAGCTGCATTTATTTCCTAGGGTTGCTGCACCAAAGTAGCGCCCACTGGGCTGCTTAAGTCTGCTCTCTCACCACTTGGGGGTCCAGAAGTCTGGGGTCAAGGTCAGCAGGGCCATGTGCCCTCTGAAATCAGTGGGGTGGGGTCCTTCCTTGCCTCTTCCTGGCTTCTGGCTTGGCATTCTGTGGCTTGTAGGCGGGTCCCTTCAATTTCTGCCTCTGTCATCATATGGTCATCTCCTTCCTGTGTCCTCTTCTTATAAGGACATCAGCCATACTGGGTCAAAGCCCAGATGACCTCATTCTAATTTAACCTCACAATGCAATGCACTTATTTCTAGATCAGCTCACATTCAAAGGACCTGGAGGTTAGGCTTTCAGCATATCTTTTTGATAGTCACAACTCAACCCATAATGCCTTGCTTCCCCTGTCCTCAGATCTAAGGAGCTGTGACATTCCCAATGAACAAGGGTACCACACTCAGAGGTAACGATGAGGCCCTCCAAGGGCTGCTTTCTTGGGTACTGGCCCTTCTGAGCCACTCTTGGGCCTGAGGAAAGGCGTAGGGAGGTAGAGAGCCACCAGGAGGCTGGAGAAGGCTTCTGCCAGGAGTTCTGTCCTCAGTTCCCAGATGCTGGCTCTGAGGTGTCAGCAGCAGCCCCTCAGAGGTAAGAAGGCTGAAGGTTCAAATCACGCTCTGGAGACTTCTACAGGGAACAGAGTCCATAAGTAAGACTAGCTTGTCAGCTAGGGCTTCTGGGTTGGGATGCTCGGAGCCTGGGAGGCCCAGATTCAGCCGGGATTATGTCCCCCTGGGTTTTGGTGCCCCAACAGCCATGGAGTCCCTTTGGGAGTGTGCCAGAGGAGTCAAGGACAGGGTCAGGGCTAGGGGAATGACCCCAAGAGGAGGGATTCCAGGATCGCCTCCAGCACACCTGCCCCGTCTGGACAGGGGGTGAAAGGAGATCCCATCTGGACAGGGGGTGACAGGAGATGTTGGGTGCACAGCCTCATTAGCAGATCCCACCAGATAGAGGCCCTACAGGTCCCATCTGCCAGATGCAGGGAGAACTTCTGCCCTCCAACAGTGAGGCTTGGCCAACCTGCCCGAGGAAAGCCCATGTCTCTGTGGGCCAGGTGTGACCTGCCCTGCCCTTGTCCACTCTAGGTCTTTGTTGTAAAAAATGAGACACAGTCCACGAGTCGGCTTCTGCAGGCTGCTGCATGCTCTCCCCCTCCTACCTTTTGGGGTCCACTTCAAGAAACCTAATGATATGCCAAGATGTCCTCCCCACTTCCTGTTTGAGGACCCAGAGGAAAGCTGCAAAACTGAACTGGGGTAGAAGAAAACTCAGTCAATGGGGTGGGGGGTGTCCATGGGGCAGGAAATGGCCAGCCTGGCACTGGCAATGCAAGATGGTACAAGGATGCCAGGTAGGTCAGCAGGAAGTGCACCAGAGAAGTCAGATTTGGCCATCTATAAACCACGGCAAACCTTGGCCTCGCTGCTACTCTGGGAGTTACTGATTTATTGCAGACACCTAGCCAGCAGAGTTCAAGGTCCCCAGGTATCTCATTCCTCCTGAAAAGCCGGCCCGTGATGTCTGGACACAGAAACACCTACCGGCAACTTTACTCCCATCAGGATGGCGCGCGAGAGAAAGCTGAAGCAAAGCGCCTAGACAAATATTTTAAAAATTAAATCACTACTGTTTTAAAGCCATACCTAGAAATTTCCAGGGTATCAACAAACAAATAAATCAGAATAAATTTTTCCTTATTCATTACAGTAGTCACAGAAACATTCCAGAAGGGAGGTACTGTGAATTGAGGACACCTAAGGTAGACTTTGTGCCTCTTTAACATCTTCTGTGCAAAGATGCGAGGACAGAGACCTGTCCTCAGGGACTCTGGGGGCTCTTCCCCAGAGGGCATGGCTTCATGCCAGCTGTCCCGTGGCCCTGGCCCACTCAGTAGATGCCCTGCTTGGGCCAGCTCAGCTCCCGGGCGTAGGCCCCTTTGCAACTCCTGATGTCAGAGTCATGCTCCAGGTTCTTGTTCAGACCGCGAACCCCGGACCGCCAGCCAATGAAGCCCTGTGTTGTCTGTGGGACTGGAGGGGACGGAAGGACCTGGAGTGGAAACGCAGGGCAGTTAGTGACCTTGGCCATGGTGACAGAAGGCCCCCAGGGTCAGTGCATGAGACAGGAAGCAAACTCAATAACACTAATAGACTGGAAAACACCTTCCCATCAGCTGGAGGCCAAGGCGCATGGCCTCCTGAGTGTAAGGAACACCAAACACATTTCTGTACCTTGCCCCATTTAGCGTATTTAGCCCACAACCTCCAGTAAAATAATTTTTATTCAGTGAGAGAGAGGAAAAAAAGGTAAGACACAGAAATATCAAATACTAGGGTCCTCACTGCCCTTTATAAAATACATAACAAAATTGTTGATGGCTTTCTGATGGTTGTAAATCTTGTTTTGGTTTGAAGGCTCTGTGATCCACATGCACAGACACCACAGGAATGAAAAGCAATTGAATTTAATTCAAAAACAAAAGGAAAAGAGGCTCTATCTTCAATGAAAGAGCCAGCTTCATTTGTCAATTGTTTGGACGGACATGAAATTTTTGGAGAAGGAAGGTAAATGTTTAGGCAGCTTCCCCTCCTCTTAAAGTCCTGGTTCTCTCCATTTGACAAAGGCAGCAGCCAGGAACATTTGTTCTAAGAGAGGAATGAGATAAGAGCTTTAACAGGCCCGGGGTCAGGAGTTCACTGTCACTGAAGGAGCCAGCCAGGCAGAGGTGGAGGGCGGGGAGGGTGGCAGGTGGGCTGGCTGCACCGCGGACGCAGTTCCTTAGCATGTGTTCTTGAGGAAGTATAAAAATTTATCTCCCGAGAGGCCACAGTAGGGAGGGTCATCTATAAACACCAGGGGGGCCAAGTGTCCTGGAGTCAGCCATAGCACCTACCCAGCAGGACCCTTGGAGAGCATCCAGCATAGTTTTCAGATCTCTAAGCAACTTATGAAGGAGACGGTTGAAAACTACCAAGGTGCCATGTGTCACCTCAGACCAGCAGCGAGATGGGAACACCACAAAACAGGACAAGAGCAACACAACGGTTATGCACAAGGATGCAGCGGTGAACACTCTTGAGCCTGAGTCCTAAGATGGTTGTGGTTTGCATATGAATCGCCCATGTGTGGAAGGCCTGGTCCCCAGCTGGTGTGCTAGTGGGAGGCAGTTGGGTCATGAGGGCTCTGACCTCATCAGGGGGTGAATTCTTGATAAGTTCATACTGAACAGGCCATTGGGGGACGTGGGTCCCTGGGGCCACAGCTTTGAAGGATATATCTTGTCTCTGGCCCCTTCCAGTCTTGTTCGCTGCTTCCTGGCTGCCATGAGGTGAACAGCTTTGCTCTGCCACACACTCCTGCTGCCATGACGCTCTGCCTCACCACAAGCCCAGAGCAATGGAGCCAGCAGACCATGGACTAAGGCCTCTAAAACCATGAACCAAAAGAAACTCTTCCTTCTTTAAACTGTTTCTCTCAGGTATTTGTCACAGCTATGAAATAACTAACACACTTAACGTCTGCACGTATCCATACCAACGTCGGCACACGGTACACTGTAGCCTGTGTGTGACAGCAAAGGACGGATGGATCACAACCACCAAATCCACTGACTGGGTCTCATTAAACTTGGCCTAGCCACACCCCAGACAGCTGAAGAGAAGCAGCCGCTCTGTGTGTCCTGAGATGGCGCAACGTCGGAGAACAGCTGCTAATGCAAAAAAAACAAAAAACAAAAAACAAACCAAGGCTCAGAAGAGCACGTGAAGTGGGCGTGAGTTAGGTAATGAGGAAGAGGGCGAGACTCATCCACTGCGTCTGTGTGTACCATCTAGGGAGGGTAATGATGGCCCCCGGGGGTGTGGGGAGCAGGCCATCATCCTACATCCCGTTGGGCAGCATGGTTACTTGTTAAATGTGACATATTGGAAAGGCTGTAATCGCCCCAAGAGGGGATGGGAAGGTGGAAGAAGGAAACGGTCCCGTTTCTTGAGGAAGTGCAGTGGGAAGTAGAGGCTAAGCACTTTGTCACCAGATCAAGGTCCTGCTCTGGAGTTTGTGCTGTCACATCAAGAGCCTTACCCAGGGGAGGTGACTGGTAGCCAGGAGGGGATTAGTGGCTAGGTGGGGATGACTCTGGTGGCAGCTACCACCTGCTGAGCAGGCCCTGGGGCCATTTGTGGCAGAGGGAAGGGTCCATTCCAAAGAAGGGCAAGGCATTTGTGGGGGCAGCTGAGGCTGACAGAGACAGCTGCTTCTCAGTGCACTCCTCACCACTGGGGTTTCTTCTGGGGTGAAGGTGGAGGTATGGAATTAAAATCCAGCCCTGGAAAAGAATCAGATCCATGTCCCCGCCATTCTTCCTGTGCTCCTGGGCCCTAGGAGTGCCAGCTGCCTGAACACACGTTGCCTGTGGACAGCCACTGCCCTTCAGGCACCTGGTTCAAGAGCACAGCTAGACAAAAGCAAGATGCTGTGCCTACAAGGGGGCCTCACACCATCATTCTCCCAGATCGCCAATGGAAAGCAGCCCAGGTGTACGGGGTAGGGGAAAGGTCAGGTAAATTCTGGGAGGCCCATAGTTTGGAGAAAAATGCAGACATTACTGTAACAATGATCTGGGGCGTTATTTTTAACTGTGTGGAAAGACATGCAGGATAAATTGGTAAGTGAATAAAGCAGGTTGTTTTTAAAACCTGTACACCCATGTGTGAGTGTGTGTCAGCATGTGCGTGCGGGTGTGTACACGTGTCAGTGATGAGTGTGTGGATGTGTATGTTTGCACACTCTGGCTCTGCAGAGACGTGGCAATGACACGGCAGGTGTGCAGACATTTTACCTGACACGGTTCCTACACAGGGACCCTGGGTTTTGTGTGCCAGGTATAGTTGTGATCTTACCTTGGGCGTCTGAGCAGACCATAATTCCCAACAGGGCTTATTTCTTTCTTAGGAAATTGAAGTTTAAACATGGCTTCGCGAACCTTGATGTATTTCTCCACTGGAGTCACTGGCTGGATGCAGAAGTGCTCAGGAAGCCGGACTTCAGGCTTTGGAGTGCAGGCCTCTTCACCCTTGATCAACTGAAACAGATCCCCCAAGACGGGAAACCTCAGGGTGAGGCCGGGGAACGTGTTCTCTGTCTTTATCGTTCTCCCCAAAGGCCACATGTGACAGATAACAGTGGGGCTCGGAATGGGAGGTGGGAGGTGGGAGCCTGTCCCCATCACACAGTTACAAACAGTGGAGAGGATCCTGCCTGCGGGCCAGCTCTGCCCCAGTGGCACTACCCTGCCAGTTCTACTGATCTTTGAGGCCCACTAATTTCTGTCCCCTGCAAAGTGACCTGAGGGAACTTTACAGCTTATGGACTCAAATTAAAAAGTGCCAGATGGTTCCAGAATCAACCTTTCAAATCATAGAGGACAGCCTGTCCCCCTTTGAATTTTTAAAGCAATTTTGAACTCTTTGAAAACCCAATTTAATTACAAGGAATATTAATATAGACTCATTTTTTGCATATTATATTAACAAGTCTTCATTTTATGCATAAAATTTCAAATTGTGTAACTCTCTGAGAATTTTAAAAAACTCGATAAGGTGGCATAATTTCCAAGCTAGTGAAGTGTGGGGGGAATTAAAGACCGGTTTCTGCTGCCTGGAATCATGAGTGTTTGGGATCAGGTGGCTCTTTTCCCCGGCTCTGTCCAGAGATGGTTTGAGAGGCTGCAAAGTCTTTCTGTAAATCAGAGCCACTCCTTCCATTGATCATCTGATTTTCTGGACTCTCTTAAAAATCAGAAAATACAACTGGCTCTCCCCACGTGGAAGCACTCGGCTGGGCTGACACAGGCTACTTCTTTGGACAGGGCAAATAGTCCCTTTGCCAGCATCGCCTCCACTCCCTGCTTGGTCCCTTCTGTTTCTGTCACCTCCATGCTCTTATGAATCTTGTTTTATAGGATGCTGAGGGGCAATTTTCCAATTGCCCTTCATAGATCCCTTGGCCCCTGGGTCTCTGGAAGGCCGCACACACCCTTATTTCACCTGCACTCAGTCACTCCATTGGGCAGGTGAAGGCCAGCATCCCATTTTACAGATGGGAAGTTTGAGGCCAGGTGCCCATGGAATTAGACTGACCAGCTGCTCATCTTGGAGGGCCCCATATTAGTTGTATGGCTGTGTTTTTTTGAGTTCCACTGACTTGTAAGATAGGTATAGGGCCACAGCCTCTGCACAGGGCTGTTGTGCAGACTGAGAGCTTGCTCCAAGGAAGCACTGAGCACATGTCCGCACAGAGCAGGTGCTCGGTGACTGGTCAAAGTCAGAAAGCTCCTGGTATGAATGAGTAATCTTTGCTCTTTAATCTTATTCTGACCACTTATACAGGCCATAGTTCATTTCCTGAAATGATTCACCATAACCTCGGGCTCATGAAGTTTGTACTTACCTCCTCCAGGGGGGTTGTTAAAAACCCCCATTTCTGGGGCCAGTTTTGCCGGGCTTCGGTTTCAGCCTTCAGGCGGTATCTCCTGAAAAAGAAAGTGCCTTAAATGCGGGGCGTTTTGGGTGTTTGCTGCAAACCCTAAATGTATATAAGACTCCCGGCTTCTCGAAAGTCCTCTTGTTGGAGACGCTGATGCTACTACGTCTACTGAGGGTACCTGGATGATGATAAATATCTTGAAAAAAAAATAGTTGAGTATTTTATGCCAAACAATACTGGTTTCCGATTTAGGAGTGTGATCTAAACCTTCCTATGAAATGAATTTAAGTGAAATGGCCAATTTAAGCACGCTATCAATGAAGTGATACTCAGCAGCCTGACGGAATGCCAACTAAGATACATCTTTCAGGAAATTGATCTATTTTAAAATCTCTTATTACTTAAAAATCTAGAAAAAAGAGAATATGTATCTGTCTTTCAAATTGAACAAATATTAACATTTTTTAAAAAATCGGTAAATCTTAAAAGAACACGTCTCAATCAGCTTCAACAAACAAGTCCTTTGGTGGTCTTGGCAAATCTTTCGGCCGTCGTGGCAGTGACTCTCATGTCCCTAACGTTGTCCCCTCTCCTCAAGGTCCTGGCCCATCCTCAGAGCATGCCCCTCGCTCCTGGAGGCCATCCCTCTCCTGGACTTGGGGGAACTGAGGCCGCCGGTGTGCACACTCCGGGTGAGAAGGACCCAGGCCCAGGGGGTTGGAGGATCCTGGGTGTTACCAGATCTTGTCCTGGGCCACCAGGTTCATGCGCTCCGCCGCCGCGGTGCTGAGCGGTTTCTGCGCCATGGGCCTGGGGTCTCAGCGCACCCTGCAAGCTCCGGCCCTGGGCTCAGCGTCTCACGTCGCCCTGGAGACCGGTTGCCAGGCAACGCGGGACGCGGAGGCGGAGGTGGCTGCTTACCTGGAGGAGGTGGGGCCGCGGGGTTCCTGTGTCGTCCTCTGTCTCCTGCTGCCAGTCTCTGCCCTCTGCTCGCTCTGGACCTCGGGCTCGCCACCTTGCCACCTGCTCCTCCAAGGGAGGGGGACCTTTAGCTCTAACACTCCCGCGCCCCTCAACCCTTAACCTGAAACGGAAGCGTACGAACCTCCACGTGAGCAGAATCCCCAGGACACGAAGCTTCGCGGAAGCTTCAGAGAACGTGCACCGTGCAACCGCCACTGCTGGAGCTGCCCTTGTGCTGCGCTCTGCACAGCCTGGCTTGGGCACTGGAAATCCGTGCAGATTGCTGGGAGGAGCCCTCCTGTGCGCCTCTCCTGAATCCTATTCCGTTCCCTTGCTCACGGACAGACTGAGTTTTGGCCACTAGGAAAGTGCTGCTATGCACTACCGCGCATGTCTTTGGAGAACACTCAGCTACATTTTTGGTGGCAGGGCTGCTGGGGGCTTTCCTGTGTTCTTCAACGGAGCCTCACAGGAGGGACTCACTGTTGACCGCTTTGCCAGGAAAGTCTGGCTCAGTGGAACGCTGGCCCTGGAGGGCAGCTCAAAAGCCCAGGCAGACTCAGTATTCCAGGGTCTCCCTCTCTCTTGCCCATGCCTCTTTCTCCCCAGGTTATTGTCATGCGGTGGGTGCTTGGCCACAGTCTACTCAGCACATGAGGCCTCGGAGGCAGCTCAGGCCCTGTGTCTCCCAGGCTGCACCTGTAGGAGGCCCGAGTCTCACCTGAGATCCACACCTACCATGTGCCCTGGGGCTGCTTCCAGGCATCAAGCCCTCAGAGATGGAGACATAGAGACCCTGCCACATCAACCTCCTCCTTCTCCTCCCTAAAGTCTCCTTCCTGACTGCTGTGCAGCCACCTGCACAGACTCATGGATTCCTTGGTCCAATTGGGTGCTGCCGGATTGGGGGGGGGTGCCTTCTCAGCCTCACCCCACAGAATCAAACCGCCAAGGCCCCTCTTCCTGTCACTGACTCCCTCCCTGGTCAGTGGGTGGCCAGAACCAGTGAGCCACACACAGGATGCCCACTACATTTGGTGTCACAGACACACATCTCCTCTACTTCTAGGAAGAAATTATTGGCTTACCTGCAATTCAGATTTGACTGAGTTGTGTGTTATCAGCTCACCCTGACACCCTCTGAGAATTGCCTCACTGGTGCGCTTCTCTTGCCTGGCAGGTTACGTGTTCCCGCACAGCACATCTGATTGTATTTTTGAACTTGGAAGGTTTGCTTTTTTCTTTTTAAAAAAGCCTCCTCCTTGTTCTTAGTTCCATAAGTGTTGAAGCCCCTTCCCTCTGATATTTGAAACAAGAAATTCCTGGGCCTTTGGCAGTTTTTTCACCTAATTTTTTTTTTTTTTTTTTTTTGCTTGGTAAAATTGTTCTTCAGCGTAGATCTCAAATAGGGCACGAGGAGCGAGAAAGAGGACAACTGCGCTTGCTGATTGCACATGGGAAACAGAAAATATTTACAGCTTGCAGCAGGCCTGCCATGTTCCCATGTATTAATATTTCTGGCCCTCTGTCAGCTCTCTCGGACAGTTTTTTTGGTTTTTTTTTCATTTCGCTGTTGCTTTATAAAACATTCCGACAACTGGAGCCAACTGTTTCTTAGTTTTTGAGCTTAAACAGTTTTCTTTTTCGCTTGATGATTTTTTTTTTCTTTAACCAGAGTGCTTTGTGTGAGGGTTCTGCCAGCCACGTGCCTTTTCCTGCAGCCCGGGTGATTACTACCTCCGACACAACAAAGGTCTGAAGATTTGCGCTCAAAGTGCCAATTTGCAAGGATTGCATTTGATGGCCTCACCGAGCCGTGGCTTTAAGGAACACGGAGCTTGTCTTTGTACAGCCATTGTGCTCCCCTTCATCACAGCTAAAGAGCTCTTAGCTGGTGTAGACCCTCCACACTCCGCACCTACGGTGACAATTATCAACGTTCTGGGGGCTATTGAGGAAGGAAAGGGCCATACCCCCTCCTACAGCACCCTAGAAACCTCCCCGCAGCTGTCCTCCATTTGGCTTAATTATCCATTATTGTCTTACTGTGCCCATTAGGGCCCCCAGCAGGCTGAGGACCACTCCTTCCCGCTCTGGCCTTCCCCCCCATTCTCCTTTGTGCGGCTCTGGGGATGTGAGAGAAGCCCAAGCCCTGTGGGGCGGGCATGCATAGTGAGGAGGAAAGTGAGTTGAATGCTGGCTCACTCCACAGTGTGAATCTCCCTGGCTTTGGCTATCAGAGGTGGTAAGCAGATGGTCGCCTGCCAGCTGCCTGCAGGGCAGCCATTTCTACCTGCTGTGACGTCCAAAATGTTTGGAGGTGGCTTAAAGTCATAAACACTGAACTCGAATGGGAATTTTAGGCCAGCAATTCTGTCACTTCAGACACATTTTCTCCAGCTGGCCTATGGTGTGAAGGGCCTATGGTCTGGGAAGGATGCTGCCCACAGAGGGTCAGAAGACTTTCCCTATGTCCTGTCTCTTAATGGTCTCATCACCACACTTAAGACCAAGTGTCACCAGTGAACGCTGTGGGGACAAACCACATGTAAACCATGGCGGTCGTGAGTTTGGGTGGGAGCTCCTCAAAGCACTGTAACTTCTCTGTCCACTCCATGCAGGCTTTCTGGCCTGGGACATATTATAGGACCCCATACGTTCCCACCAGCCGCAGACTCAGTTTCCTGCTCTTCATGTTGCTGGGGCATCAGGGCTGAGGTGAGACCTGGTAAGAGAGGGACGTTCGCCACTGGAGTTTTTGGAGGAGATTCTCCTTCCAGGCTTGACATGGTTCTAGCGTAGCTGCTCATCCTCCTGCATGTCACCACAACAGCCAGCCAGCCATAGGCTTGCCAATAGTCAGGCTTCATCCTCCTGGCTGCAGTGATTGGTCCCACAGAAGAGCATGTGACTCATGCAGGCCAATCAGAGCCCTTCCCTGGGATTTTCACTCCTTAGGCTCTTTTTCTATCCCTAGCTTGGAATAAGGAAAACGCTGAGCTATGTGAGACTATCTCTACAACCTCCCCCCCACATCCTCCACTGCCAACAATCTACAGAAGGAGTCTACATGCTTTAAGAAATATTGGGGTTATGTGGAGAATGGAGAGATGAGCACGGGAAGGAGAAAGGGAGAGAGAAAGAGAGGAAAACAAAGAGGGGGAGAGAAAGATCTAATGGCCAGCCCTGTTCTGAACTTCTCAGTTGCTTAAACCACTCCTTGGAGAAGAAAGGAAGTCCACTGCTGGGAGCTTAGAAGCCCCACGACTGTCCTGCTAGTCAGCCCACCTCGTCATGCTGGGGACCTTTGAACAGTCCAGCCTGGGGAAGCATGTGCTGCATGCTGTTTTGTTTGGGGCTTCTGGCCTGGAGAATGGCCTGTGAGGCAAAGCTGGAGGCCAGAACCCAGATGGGAGGTTGGAAGTGATATCTAGATACATGGCTAAGGCCAGGGCCAGAGAAGAGGTATTTGGGCTGGGGAGAAAGGAGTAGCTATAGTGGGACATAGAAGATGTTAGGAGAATGTGTTGGTCAGGATTCTTGAAAGTGTGTAGTAGTTGCCTTGGATCAGCTTTAATAAAATCAGAATGGTTTAGCTGTCATACTTGAAGAAATTGGAGGCGACAGGTAAGGCTGTATCCAGGGGTTCAAGCATTGCCATCAGGACCTGTTGTTTATCTCTTGGCTCTGTGTTTCCTGGCTGGCTTACCTCAGGCAGGTTCTCTTTGGTGGTGGCCACCTGCGGCTCTGGGCTCCAGCATGGATGGAAGGTGCCTCTGTTCTTGCTGCTCCTGCACAGGTCTCACTGAATTGTCATGTGCGCCTCTCTGATGGAGTCATCACGGCCTGAGGACAAAGAGCTGATGGGCGGTGTGGACCACACACCTACTCTCTACATGGATCAAGAGTAAGTCTTTTGGTTCCTGAAGACAAGGCCTAGGTGTGGGAGACTGGCCACCAACTGTGCCTGCCCAGGGTGTGGAGGAAGATGTGGGGGAGAGAATGGGTGTCACCGGTGCTTCTGGGGTATGGCCAGGGCTGGAACAGGAGGCCTTGAGCAGAGACCTCTGAGAGGGGGTGGAGGAGTGGGGAGACAGCAACAACAAGGGGCCAAATTAAGCTGGAGCGGCCCCGTGGCTTTGCCCGGTAAGACAGCCCTGATTTATAGGTTTGCAGGGTTTGGCTCTGGTCTGCTGTAATCAGCTGACTCTTATTTAAGACCTTGTGTGCTTACTTCCCCTTGCTCAGGGAAAGAGGATGAACCAGAGCAATTGTGATTTTGTCGGGGACAGGGACAATCAGCTACCCATGTTGGTGGTAATCAGGGTGTTTTTTCTTTTGAAAAAAACAAAGCAAAACAGGAAAACTTCTTTTTGTCCAATACAGAAAACATTTTGCTGGCAAGTCTGTTCTACCAAAGAGCTTTGAAGCCTGAGTTTAAGGTTGTCTTGGGGTCCTGAGGTTTCCTCCCCACCCAGTGGAGGAGGCCATAACACACCTCTTATTTGTTACTGGGGTTTCTACCAAAAAGCATCTTCCCAGCTCATGGTCATCTTCTGGTCCAGCTCGTGTCCTCAGGCCTCAGGGGCTCTCCTGTTGGTCCTTGAAGCCCCTCTACTTGTAGGGAAGGGAGGGGCCACCCCACCTGTGGCCCATCCCTGATTATCAGTGACTACATGCCTAGGGCAGTTGCCTCCACTCTCTCAGTTTGTTTTGGTGCCAGTGAAATGCCTAGGACCCCTAGGCTCCCACTGTCCTGGACTCTAGTCTAATAAATAAACCCCAAATAAACAAGGAGCTCCATGCAGGGGACCCACTGAGCCACATAGGACGTGTATTATCT